CCGTGACTGCTAAATGTGTCCTTAGTCGTCGGCGCAACCAATCAGATGGAACTGCAGGCCTCGACTGGATTTGAGTGGACGGGGGGCGTTGGACGATGAGGACAGCGTGGACCTCTTAAGCGATCGGCGAAGATAGTGCGGGGGAGTTTGTCATACGCGAGTACACAAAGACTTGACGAGTGAAGACGTAATGAGTCAGTGCATCGGTACTCAGAGCAGGCCACCACAGTACCCTCTGGCAAAGCCGGAGGCGAAGTGAAGCGACGCTGAAGGCATGGTTAATGTCTAAAACATATGAGCAATAAAACAGTCAGGAAAGTGAAATATGGCGTCCACTACGGGTGGTATATACAGGCGGCATAGAATTGGAATCGGTATGTTCTGTGGCAGAAGTGTTAGAGTTGGGTATAGTGCTAGGTTGAGGTTGCAGAAAGGTGGGAAGAGAAAATAATCAGGCCAGTGGAACAGCGGATTGGGGAGGAATGGAAGGAGGCAAGAGACCAGAGGGCTAGTCTGGCGAGGTGCCCGGGACAGCAGATTTGAGATGGTCAACGTCCACAACCACTTCGCGAGTGTCACGCTGGTTGCGGTGCGTTTTCATCCGTCAAGAGACAACACGGAAGCGGCCCTCGTAGGTGGGTTACAAGGACCGGCGACTTCTATCACATCGCAGAAAGACGTGAAAGCATGTCGCCAAGTATTTCCCGAAATACGATTCGGAGAGAGAGGGCGCCTGACATGGCGAGATCATCTCAACGGGAAGTCAAAGGTTAGCGTCGAGCACCAGTCCAGCAGTGGAGCAATCAAGGTCAACATTGAGGAAGGAGCGGATACCCAACAAGACCAGGGGAAGATCGTCCATCCAGTTCTGTCTATCGGCCGCGGCGCGTATACAGACCTTCAACTGGCGGTGAAACCACTCGACCATCCAGTTGGCAGTCAGGTGATAGGCTGTAGTTCGAACGCAAGTACAGCTTAAAAACAGAGCAGAGACTGGAGAAGGTTTAACTCAAATTGGGCACCTCGATCAGTCATAATTGTGAAGAGAGCGCCAATGATGGCAAGCCAACGACTGAGGAAAGCCTTGACCACAGTGGAAGCCCGGGCATTGCGCGGGAGATAGCCTCCGGCAATCGGGTAAATAACGCCACAGAGATAGGAGATAGAAACAGTCATCGGACAGAATCAGAGGGCCTACGATGTCTAAACGGACGTGACTGAACCCTGCACCAGGACTGAAGACCGTGCAAATGGGCGTCTTGCTGTGCCAGTGGACCTTGTTCTAGTGAGAAGATGAGATCGTGTTTTATATAACCTTCGCAGGCTTTCAAAATACCTCTGACGCCGTGCCACATTAAAAGCTGTCGCAAAAGGCAAAACGAATGGGAATAAGATGTAACTTCCTCAAATAAATAGACAACTTCCTCATGGGTCGGAGCCGGGTTGTGTGCCTCGGCTAATAGGAGAAAAGTAATGCTGCGGTTGAGAATGGATTTTCCCGGTGTTCAGTACTAGGAAATATCCTATTTCTTCGTAATGTGGACGACTGTGTCAGAGATTTGAACTGTAACACAACTATACTTGCCAACGATATGCAAACCTGGAGTATAAGTCGGATTGGCCTATATCGAATGGAGGAATTGTGGAAACGCTGGCTTACGTGGATAAAACATAAGTGTACAATTATTTACCCAGATTACCCAGCCAGTGCCAACAATAATTAAGAAAACCTGTTGATGGTGTCGCCCTACATGTCGTTGGAACCTAAAACGACAAAGTTGTGCCGATGATTATTTCCTAAAACACTCCTCTCATTGATCAAAAATAGGAAAGAGCGAAAGGTCCGTGATGCACGTCAGAATGACAGCCTCTTCCCCGGGCTTATCGGAACATTCGCAAGGCTGTATTTGGAATGTAATATATGAGACTGGGGACTCTAGACAGATCAAGTTTAGGATAGCCTCAAACAAGAGGCACAGAACACAGACGCACACAACCTTTATCATCTGGGACGTAACAGTTTATGGATACGCCATACCTTAGGAGCGTGCATGAAAAAGTTAAGCAAACTGTGAATTCAACGGTGGCAAACAGAATAATAGTTCGTGAGTACACTCATGTATTCATGAATAACTGTAGTGTCAGGTAGAAAAATGTACGAATATTGATAAGTATATTATACCGCAGTCAGAGTGATGACTGGAGAATAACGAACTACAATGGAATTGGCAAAAATGCAAACGAAGGTACATATTGTTCAAGAGTTTCTATCTCAAAAACCCATGGATATTAAATAGCGAACGAATATTTGTAATACCACGTTTTTCTCGGAAATTGACAAACGCTCTTCATTATACTAGAGCAGGTTTTCCGTTAAAAATTAACGTTGTTTTCAGATGAACACAGGGACATTTGATTTGGATGGGTTTCGTCGCTACTCTCCGAAAATTGCTTTCTCAATACAAATACACACTCGGTTTACGTTAAGCTTTGTTTATATATCTTGAAAAATTCCCACGACTACGGTCATAACACTAAATTTACGAAATTTTCTCCATGTAATCAGATAAGAAACTTTTAAGCTGCTGAAATTTTACCACGCAGACGAATATGTTATAATATTCTGCGCGCCGCTTGCTCGAGTGATGTCCCATTGCCTCGTAAGGCACTGTGGTAGGTATTTACCTCTCATGATTACGACACTTTTTTTAAAAAAAAACAAAAATTAGCATAAATGCGCTTATACGATTACTGCCTTAATATATACATTTACCTCGATAATTATTACCCTAATTGCTCGCGATCAATTACGGAAAAACCAAAGTGTAAAGCATCGAACAACAGGAGCACCATAATTAGCTGAGATGGCATCCATCTCTTGTTTCCATCAGTGCGTGATGGCAGCAACTTTGACCTATGTACCTATTCGCAGACAGCCGTCTCCCAAATACTGGTAGGTATCACGTCGGAACAATCAGTCTGCAGGCCCCATACCATTCACAGTGCTAGCGAGGGATAAGTGCTATTACCTACTAGGCCGCAAGTCAACTGGTGATCAAAATTGTTTACTGTCTCAAATATGTGTTGTTTCAATACTTATTTGAAACTTAACTGCAAGTAGATGCGAAATTTCACACTGATAATGCCAGTTACTGCAAACTGTTAAGCTTCTTACCAAATCAGCTATGAATTATCATTTTATCCCAAAACAAGGATCAGTATTTAACTCGGCATGAGTTTGATGTAAACTTCAGTGCTGATAAGCCATTCATCTCTTTTTTTTACCGAATAATGTTATGCTATCTCTTATCTACCCCTGTGCTAGTATATTATGTTTCCAGGCTTGTGTGCAGCTAGTGGTCTGTTTTCCTGGCTGGGCAAAGCTCCTGCCAATCACACTTGGAAGCATCTGAGTGGATTGCACCTGAAGGCCTAATGCCAAGAGAAAGCTGAAAGCAAGTCTAACCGCATGCTAACCGTAGGGGTTGAGCTAAGGTGACTGCAGTATTATTAAGTTTTGAAGGTCGTTTGCGGCTGGATACCTTAAGGAACCCAGGTTAAATTTATTTAAAATGAATTTGTAATATTCCAGGGCAGAATCGTTTAAATCGTTTTTCATCTGTTTCCCATAATCCAGTTACTGGCCTCAAAACCAAATAAAGACCGATAAACTGCCGCGAACCCATCTGCAATCCAGAATACCTGACTTTTATCCTGCCCGGGGTGTTTCCTTATCTTAGCCAGTTGTACAAATTTCCTATTATTCTTTTTCTCTTATAACAAATAAATATCCTTATGAGTCAGTTTGGCATCCTTTCAAAAGCATCTGTGGGAAAATTTCCTATTTCAAGATGAAAATTACGCGACTTTTGAGGTTTCTAAGTTCGTTTGCCCTTTGAACCGAGTTTTTGCACATACTGGTGCGGACATCTCGAGATCACACGATGCGCTAAGTCGTTTTTTCAGACCAGGTTGAGTTTAAATCAATGCAATTCTATGCCCAAATAGCGTTTTATCTGCCTTCACAAACAGGAAACTTGTCTCATCTCTTTTTCTCTCTAAGCGTATCAATTTTTACCTACGTGATTGAATTGCCTTTGTTATGCGGACCCGTTTATTGTAGGATTATTTTGGCTTATATCCACTGCTTTTTTTAATTGTGTGCTCACCCAAAGTTGGTTTTGGTCGTGTTAGGTCGGTTATTCTGATTTTATGCTTGTCTTAGGCGGTCAACATATTATTTTCATTTATATAGCCAACGCTCCGAAATCATGTCGAGCACACAGAGACTGCCGTCGCTATTTAACATAGCTGAAGGCGAGCGGGTCAACATAATCAGCGCGTTCAGTGGATCTTCTGATACATACCGGATACCAAACACCAAGTAATACCTTTTCAATCATTCACTTAAAATAAAACATAAAGGAATGATCTATCTAGTACACTCCTATGACATGTCCCACCAATCCAAGAGCGCGTGTGAACGATTATCATAGAAAAGTAATGGATTGATGATTGAAAGATGGTATGTGTTTACCACACCTATATATTTGTCAGCCCACTATTTAGCCTCGTTATCTACTGACACATTGACTTTATGAACACATTTTAGCGTTAGCCAACTTCATAACCATGCTATTAGCACAAGTACTATCTAAAGGCACAGACGTGCGTGCTTCGCCTGTTATACCGCAGCGACTGATGGGCTTCAGTTCAAACATTCGTATCAAGTTCCAGACTGAGCCTTAAAATGTCTGTTTCACCATATTTTTTCCAAGTTCACTTATGCGTTTCCTCTAAAATTTAACAAGACAGGCTGAAACTGGTGTTAATCTTCCAGAAAACACACAAGGACGCTGGAAGTCACCCTGATGAGCCCAACTCCCTCGCAGCTGCATTATCGGTAGTAGATTAATTCAACACGCTCAGAGGAATTGGGTTTCTGGCACCTTGGTACGGGTTTCAGAAAATATTGCAATGTCAATACGTAGTGGAGATATGCACTCCAAATTCGAAACCCTGTTTATGTGGGGCTCGTCGTGGACCCAATGAAATATCTGCCAATGAAATACCTGCTTGGATCTTTCTTACACATTGTCATGTCCACTTTTCTGAAAAACGGATCCAAGGATGGCCGTTCTAAATTCCTCACTTACGATTTCTTTTAGTCATTTTTGTTCGCACACTTCACTGGACGGGGGCGCCATGGTATAGAGGCTGAATTTATGCACTTATTCGTTATGGTTAATGTTGCAGCTAACAGCAGCCTTAATTAGGCTGGTTCAAGTGTGCACGATGCAAGTTATGAAGGCTCGCGAGGAACTTTATACAGGTGGGTTCTAATTCGTAGAGGAATGTTAACATTGAGAGCCGCATTGAGTGACCTGTCACATTTAGCATGTCTAAATAACCATTTGGATAGTGTTCCCTCTTAGGTAGCTGATTTGTTAAGTGTGTCCAGCTGCGCCTGGACTTATTGCTTCTACTTTGTGTTTTTTAACTGCTTATTCTTAAGACCTGATAGGCAATTTGTTTCACAGTAACCTGAAGGCTGGTCTGCCATTTGCTACCTATTTACAAGTAGCTCGTATTGAGACTAATGAGTATTCCACTCATGCCGACAGTGGTACCGTTCCCTATAAATATCGCGTTGCACTGCACTGCTTAAATGAAAATGGGGATTCAACATACAGAACGGAATCAGGTTTTCGCGATCAAAACCCCTCCCTTGTTGATTGATTGTATTATAGAGCAACCAAGTGTAAGACCTTAAATGTCGCGGTTGCGTTTAACGTATGGTCTAAGGCTTGTTTAAAGAGCGACATAATCTGACCCAGTATCAAACATTTGGGTGAAATTTGTAAATAGAACCCTCTTCCGCTCGCCGGTTTCTGCGCTCTAGTCAGTTAAATTCGGATCTACCAATGTTCCATGATTGGATGGCAATCAGTATGCGAAGCAAATACTGAGCCCTGTTCTCACCACAGTGGGTTTGGCTTGCCTGGTGCCTTTTAAGCACTAAAAGTGAGACGTTGAAAGCTACTTTTTTGGGTTAAAGCGGTCATCTATGTTGAGTACTAGATTGAAATTTCTCGATCCTGATGTGACCTTTGTTGCAACTCTGAGTGATGTGTGATCATACTTAATGAGCTCATTTCTCGCAGCCTGAACAATGAGACAATTTGTGGCGTGATTAGATTGTGCGTACGCCTATGCGATCTTTCTTATATCTAAAAGTTAATGCCTGTTTTTGCCTGTTTTTTTATAAAACATGGTGCGCATTACTTTTCCACAGGACATCCGGATTCCTTGGATCCGTTTTGTTGACTATAGTTCACGCCTCTCTCACAGCACTACTGTCACCGACGTGGCCATCCAGTGATAGTTTCGCAAGGAGCGTGCTCTAAATAAATGTATGGACGGAAAGCCCTTTATGAAGACTGTCGTGTTGAAGGTCCTCATCAGGAAACCAGAAAGGCCTAACAGCGCCAGTCGTAGATGTGTCAAGGAGCGACGGAGCAACGACTGCGAGGTTACCATCTAGTGTTGGTTGGGGCTCACAATCTGCAAGAACACAACATAAGCCTGGTTCGCTGGGGTCAGTGTCAGGACCTGATCGGGGTTAAACACAGGCTCTTTCGCGGAAAATCGGACTGTCCCCGGTGCATAAGCCCTCACGATTAACGCTATAACGCTGCCGCACTATTAAGTCTAAATACTTTAATTGTTATATGCGCTTACTATTAAGAATACACTGTTGTTTCCATTTCAGATACCTCTTTTTTCCTTTTTTGGTTTCTTGCGTAGCTAAACTTCTGCCCGCTTACACTTATAAAAACCTAACCTCTTTGTGCGAGCTGAATTGACTTACACATTTGCCATTTTTGCTACACGCAGATTAAGTCACAGTTTCCTAATACCTACCTTGGCCACAGTAGTCTTAAGCTTCGCGCCTTATCAGCAAGCCTTAACTGTTCCGTCGTTTATTCTTGTTACACATTTTACGCCACGTATTTTTAGTGGGACAGGATATTATGCTCTAGTATCACAACCTACTAAATCGAATTAATATTTTTGTACGTCCGGCGTGTGTTTCTTCGCACACTCTACTATCTTAAACTGAGAGAAAGGTATTACAAATATTTAAGTGGACTAATTCATTGTCAAGAAGGAGCTACAGTAGTCGGCCTATCTCATGAAACTTTGATCGAACTCTTGAAATGCGTTTCGATCATAAAAAAAAACACTTAGAGGTCGGGGGTTGTCCTGCAGCAGAACCGCAAAATATTGCAGTCAAGAGTAGATGCCAGATTAGAGAGTGATCTTTCTGAGCGTTTGCAGAAACCACTCTAGGTTAAAATGGCAACTTTAATGGTATTGATTTTACACTGCTGATTTCCGCTGTTCTTATAAATTAAAACATGGACGAAATGTTCCATTTTTAATTTTTCGGTGGTAGATTGCTTCATCCGTGTAGTTTTTACTTTGAGAAAGGATATCTCTCAGGCTTAAAAAGTTTATGATTGTGAGATTTTTAAGACGGTTAAATATCCAGCCGTACAGTGTCCCATCCACCAGTTCATTAATGTTAATTATACCACACGGTCCGAACCCCATGTGATGATCCTTAGTAGCGCAGGAAAAGTTGTGGTTTTTCTTACACATTATGTTTACAATATGTGAGTTGGAATCTCCGAGCAAACGTGAAACTGCAAAGTAGGTCCAAAATTATTCAGGAACTAAAAATAACTCAAAACGCTAAGATACACTTCTTTAGATATAACATGCGATGCTGACGTAAATTGCTGCCACATTCAGTGTTAGGAGGGGTTCTCTCGTGCATACTTTATATAAATTACTCTTGAATAAATAAATACATCGACATTTGATAGAAAAGAGTGCTTCAGCTTTTTTAACGAGTGTTATTTTTACACACGGTCGGAAAGAGGTTCATTAAACAGTCGGCATTCTGGTTTAACTGAAATATCTCAGGTTTATGTTGTAGGCTAATCAATATTACAACTTCATCCTAGTTATTCTTTCCAGTCGAAAACGCATTTCAGAATTTCGATTAACATTTTATGAGGTAAGCGGCCTCCTGTACGTCTCCCCCTCTTACGTGGTATACGTGAAGTACCGCGTTTATAGTGTTTAGGCCATCTGCGGGGATGCACCTGCGACGTTTTGTTTTTAAAACACGGACCATATACGCACCGTACTGCTCACTTTTTAACTCCCCCGCTTATAATAGTACGGCTCCCTATTCAAATAACAAGGAAACCCAATAGCATCCGGAAGATGGGACACAATTTTTGCATAGGGTACATGCTTAATCCTCTGATATTATTTGCCTCAGGCTAAGTAATAAAAGGCCATACGCGATTGCTGTCCACTATAGCAGCGTTTTCGTTGGTTGACTAACATCGTGGGAACCCAATGGGTTAAAGCGATCCCTTGTGCCACTCTGTAGTAGTTACGAGTTTGGAGGGCAAATAGTGATTCCGTCACACACCAATTAACTGGTTTCTTAATTTTGTGATCTTTTATCGTGTAAGGCATCAGTCGCCTATATTCATACAAGTACAAACCCATGCTTCCCTTCCCTTATAAACCCTTTCTTACACTCTAACACCGGTTATTTATTATGCAAACTCTCGTTATCATAAGTATGTAATGCTTTCACTAACTCGGGTGAATTTTTGACGGGCCTGACGTCGATTTTCCTAATAATTTGCTGCCATCCAAATAGACCGGTTACCCAGAAAGAGGGCAATATCGACTGATTCAAAGTACTGACAGACGGAAACCGATAGCACAGAGCCTGACTGTCTAATGCAGGTTTCAGGAACCAGCCGTTTTGACTCGGTGTTTCGGGTGTCTTTTTAAACTTCACCAAATCATACTCGAGTACTCGCTGGGTCGTTATTTTTTTTCGTGATTTGTGCATTTTTAGGGCCAAATAGTTGATTCTGTAAAAGACAATAATATGTCTGGCACTATTCGTCCCTATCGACTGACACAGTTGGGGAAAAAATTAAAATCATAGGCAAATTAACATTACCGACAAAGACAGGTGAGAGGGGAATAGCTATTTCGGACTATCACTTTTAATGTACCTGATCGTGACTGATAGGCCAACTAGTCCGTAGCTCAATAGCTGAGGTGACGAACTTCTAATTAACGGGCCATGTGTTCAAGACTCAGGAATTGAACTACTAGGGGTTGAGTATGGTTGGTTAAAGAAAACTAATAAGCTGGAAATGTCCATTTCAGTCCATCTTGAGTTTGCTAGTGGTCATTCTGCCTGATACTAGACGCTGTGAGGCTTCTGGTGGGATTCAGTGGTGAGCTCCAAGGTACAACGGCAGATATATGTCCCCTAAGACGATCGGTAAGCGCGCCAATATCAATGCAAATAATAAACAATGTGGTGACTCACTCCACATAGGCTAGCATGTCCGAACGCTCGCCGCTGC